CTGGCAGCAGGATAGGGTCCAGGCAGCAGCTGCGTGGCAGCAGGGGACCTGCAATTGTGTGGTGAGACCAGTTAGGCAGTCACTGCATGTGTGGGGAGCCGGCAGGGCCCAGACTGCCTTGGGCCAGATGGAGGTCACCACAGCAGACCAGCAGGGTCAACATCATGTCCAGCAGGAGCCCAGGGCACTGGCCATTGAAGCCAGGGACAGAGGCTGGAGCAGCCATGGCGTGGAGAGGCAGAGGCTGCAGCAAGAGAGCCACTGCATGCTGCCCCTGCTCTATGCACGCTGCTCCTACCCAGAAAAGCGGCTGGCCAGGGAGCAGGGAGTGGGGATGCCTTTTAAAGATGGCTGCTAGCTGCAGGCAGCTGCAGCCTGAGCTTTCACCTCCCCATGGTGGCAGCAGGGGGCCATTACAGGGCCACAGGAAGCTGAAGCAGTTTATTGCCAGGAACAGAAAACCTGCTTCTGCTTCCCTGCATGTGTAAACACAAGGCTGGGAGCATTTACTCTCAAGTAGTTTACTTGAAAATAAACTGCTTCCAGATCATTTGCATGTGCAGACACACCCAGTAACATGCAGCACCAAGTAGACCACAGCTACAAGTGCCAAACACTATGTAACTTGCTACCATGCAGAAGACACTACAGATGACTAGGGTCTATAGTAGAAATTAACAGATACCACACAGGATGAATAAGTACCTGAAACCCACCACAACTATCCAAGCACTCTGAAAATTGCATCAGCACATCAGCCTCTGCCGAGTTTGCCTGGCACCAAGTAACATGCATGAGCACGTCCACAATGTCACAGAGTATCTGACTCCCTGGGCACATCTATGTGAAATGCTAAAAGCACAGTAGACTAATTCTACTGTGCATTAGCGCATCACAGCAAAAGTCATGCTAATGCACAGTAGAATTAGTCTACTATACATTACCGTCACTTGAAAGACATGCTATTGCTACCTGTTATTTATTACAGGTACTAACTTAATGCGCCATAATTACAGTGCATTAATGCACGTGTAGACATGCCCCCTGTGTAATATGCTCAATGGCTCCACCAGTCCCTACCAAAGAGTTTCAGAATGTTCCTGATGTAGTAGGAAAATGCGTTAATATACACATTTATGCTTAAGACAACAAGGGCATCACTCAGGCAGTTGCATTCCAGTAGCTATGACATAGTCTATTATAGGCAGGCAAGATTCTTTGGGTAGATGTGATATCTTTTATTAAAACAACTAAAAAAAAGTGGAAAGAGTGAAAAATTGTTCTTTGCAAGCTTTTAGGCATAAACACCCTTTGTCAGGCTTAGGGAGACTGCTGGTGTTGTGTGTTCTCCAAAGTAGGAAGAAGCTAATTTCACAGACCTGTGTATTGTAAATTAGCTTCTTTTCTACCTTGGAGAACACATAACACCAGCAGGGTCTCCCTACGCCCAACTAAGGTTGTTTGTGCCCAAAAGCTTGCAAAAAAATTTTTCCCAACTATTTAGCTCATTTAATAAAAAGATATCACATCTACCAAAGAACCTTGCCTGCCTACATCCTTAGACCAACATGGCTACCAACACTCTATTGATATACACATTACTTTTATAGCCACACAAAATGGAAGCTTCTGCTGCAGCTGCTGGTTTTCAGAGTAGTCGTGGCTTCTGTCTTTCAAACACTGCTGTCACTGAAAGATAAAAGCCTATAGAGAGCATACAGTGTGTGAAGGTAACACTTACCCAAACATGGCTGCTGTCTGCCTGGTGTTCTGCTGTGGTGGAGTAGAGGTGCTTGTTGACAATAAAATGTCCGTACCAGCTTTCTCCCAGTCAAAGGCTTCATTCTCAGTGATGCCTCTTTCCTTCATGCTGTTCTCAAATACAGACATGATCAGCTAGAGAAGTATATGTTAAAACAAAAAGGAGTTACATTACCTTCATCATAATAACTGTGTGTGATCTGAAAGAAAACCTTTAACATTGATGCTAGTGTTGATCAAAACAAAGAATTTCTTTTTTTTTTAATGTTGACTTTAAATTTGTTTTCATTCCAACCTAAAACATCATTCCAACCTAAAACATCTGTTTTTCAATAACCTTGTGGTAGCTTGAAATATTTTTGTAGATTATGGAAAACAGCTACTCCTCTTATTAATATGCTGAGTGTTTGCCTGTTTCTCTTTATCAAAGCATCAAGCTTCCCCATTACAATACAAAAGGAAATGTTTTTGATCCAGGAAATGAATTCCAATCGGTACTAGTTATAGGTGCACCTGATTATAAAAATGAAATATTTCAAGTTAAATAAAATATTGTAAAATAATACAAAAATTAAAAGTAAAATTTGAAATGAAATTTTGTTTTGGAAAGACATTGCAAAATATTTACTCAACAAACTTTTAGAAATAATTTTTTCTTTTAATTTTTTTTCTCCCTCAGGACATCCCAGGTTCATCAAATCTTTCAACAACAATCCCAGAATGTCATTCTCTTCTTGTATTCGGCCTTGGTGAGGCCGCAGCTGGAGTACTGCAGCCAGTTTTGGGCCCCACAATTCAAAAAGGATGTGGAGAAGCTTGAGAGAGTCCAGAGAAGAGCCACGTGCATGATCAGAGGTCAGGAAAACAGACCTTACAATGACAGGCTAAGAGCCATGGGGCTCTTTAGCCTGGAAAAGCGCAGGCTCAGGGGTGATCTGATGGCCACCTAAAAGTTTATCAGGGGTGACCACCAGAATCTGGGGGAACGTTTGTTCACCAGAGCGCCCCAAGGGATGACGAGGTCGAACAGTTATAAGCTACTGCAAGGCTGTTTCAGGCTGGACATAAGGAAGAATTTCTTTACTGTCCAAGCCCCCAAGGTCTGGAATAGCCTGCCACTGGAGGTGGTTCAAGCACCTACACTGAACACCTTCAAGAAAAAATTGGATGCTTATCTTGCTGGGGTCCTATGACCCCAGCTGACTTCCTGCCTTTGGGCAGAGGGCTGGACTTGATGATCCCTTCCAGCCCTAATGCCTATGAAATCTATGAAAATTCACCAACCAACTTAAATCAGCAACTCCTTCTCCTCATAGGAAAGTAGGACAAGAAGGGACCTCAACAAGGTCATCTAGTTTAGCCACCTCCACCCCCACCACTCAAGACAGGAGCATCCCTAACTAAACCATCCCAGCCAAGTATCTGTTCAACCTGCTCTTGAAAATTTCCAAGGATGATGATTCTCTAGGTATCCTGTTCTAATGCCTGACCAGTCTCATTGTCAGAAAGTTCCTCATAATCTCCAGCCTAAATTTCACCTGCTTGCTTCTAGCCATGTCCCCTACAGCTGCAGAGAAATGCTCATTTCCATTCCATCTCTAATTACCATTCAGGTATTTGAAGTCTTCTATCAAATGCCCCTTCATCTTTCTCTTCTCCAAACTAAATAACCTTTGCTCTTTCAGTCTTTTCTCATAAATCATGCTTCCCAAGCCTCTAATAATTTTTACTGCTCTCTGTTGGACTCTATCCACATCCTTCTTGAAGTGTGGTGTCCAACTCTGGACTCAATACTCCAGGTGATGCCTCCAGTGCTGGGCAAAGCAAAAGAATCACTTCTTTTGATTTACAATGTGCCATGGTAATATGAAAGGCTACCCGCGTTCTGTCTTGCATTAGTAGGTACATCACGAGCAGGTCTAGGAAGGTGATTCTTCCCCTCTGTGTGGCATTGGTGAGGCCACAACTGGAGTACTGTGTCCAGTTTTGGGTGCCACACTTCAAGAATGATGTGGATAACCTGGAAAGGCTTCAGAAGAGGGCTACTCATATGGGTGACGGCCTACAGGTAAGATCCTCTGAAGACAGACTGAGGGACCTGAATCTCTTCTGCCTCCATATGAGAAGGCTGAAAGGTGATCTACCTTGTGACTGTCTACAAGCTCATCGGGAGGTCAGCAGGGAATAGGTGATACTATGTTTACCAGGGCGCCCCTTGGGGTTACTAAAAACAATGGCCATAAACTGAAGGAGAGTAGATTTAGATTGGAGATCAGGAAGAAATTCTTTATGGTGAGGGTTGCCAAAAATATTGAGTGGACTTCCAAGGGAGGTGGCGTCTTGGAGATATTCAAGAAGAGATTAGACAAGCACCTGACAGGTCACTTGACCACAGCGTTCTTTCCTGCCCAGAGCAGGGGGTCGGACTCGATAATCTAATAGGTCCCTTTTGACCCAAGAAATCTATTAAATCTATCTATGAAATCTCGGAACCAGAAAAATACCAAATTATATTCTAAAAGAGAACATCTACAACATTCATTAATTTAATTTCAAACAATATTTTTGTCCTGATTTACATGTTTGTTTAGTGTACACAGAAGTGATTGCACAATAGCTTAAAATGAAATCTTACTCTTGTATATGGGAGGGTGGTACAGGTTTTTGGGAGGCCGTGGGTAGAAGGAGGCAGGAACAACCACATGGTCTCAGGCCAGAAACCTCTGCTGGGTAGAGGTGGGAGGGGGCTGAGGGTTTGGTACTTGGACCAGTGTGTTTAAACATCTTCATCAATGATTCATAGCACTTAGGAGAGGTCCCAGAAGACTGGAAAAGGACCAATGTTGTGCCCATCTCCAAGAAGGGGAGGAAAGAGGACCCAGGGAACTATAGGCCAGTCAGTCTGACCTCAGTCCCAGAAAAAATCCTCAAAAAATTTCTCAAGGAGTCCATATGCGATAAGCTAGTAGAAGGCAAAATTCTGAATGACAGCCAGCACAGTTTTGTCATGGGTAGGTGTGACTGAAGCTGCCTTAAGTGGGGTTTCCTGAGTGATGCACTATCCATCTGGCATGGGGCCACACTCCTCAATTTGTCTGCCAAGACTTGGAGTTATATAAAGGAAGGGTTCAGTGGAGATCTTCTTCCTGGGGGGCCCCCTGGGGACGGCAGTACTCACGGTTCAGGTGCGATGTTCAACGGAGCTCCGCCTCCCCTATACCCCGTCCACTCGCCAACCAGATGGGCGCCAGCAATGGTGGTTCAATTGTGCATGATTGACCTCGGCTTGCCTTGAGGGGGACCCCATGTCCGGGTGGGTTCTGGTGGCATTTTTCAGGCTGCCCCCCACCCCCGATGAGTAGCCTTCCCATCTTGGAGACTGGCAAGCTGTGTGTCGGCTGGCGCCAACTTCAGCGCCTCTGAGTAGGGCGCTTCTGGTTTTGCACCTCTTCTCTCTTGTGTTTTTTTTCCCCTCAAAAGAAATAGACCCTTGGGGAGGAGAGGGGTGTAGAGTTGCCTCCTTTCCCCCAGCCTCCTACAGGGGACTCAAACACCTCCCCTGCTCTGCCTGCCAGCATTGAACTGGCTACACTGCTCCTCCCTGCTGCAGGAGCCTCAGCGCGTCTGGTGTGCTCCACGCCAGCATGCTCCCTCACTTTCTCTGCCCCCCGGGTTCTGGTGGGGCTTTTAAACCTTCCTGTGGCGGCCTTTCTGGCCACCGCGTAATGCCGGCTTGCACGGCCACGGCTGCAGTTCCTGCTCCAGCTCTGGCTGCACTCTGGGAGGTAAGTTCCCCCCGTGGGGGGGCTGTTTGTGGGGTTTGGGGCCCATGGGTCTACCCTCTCCCCTTTGGGAGCCTGTGGGGGCATCTCACCGCCACAGACCTCCCCCCTTAAGTTGCTTTGTGGCATCTAGACTCCTCATGCAGCTTCTCACAGAGCCTGATGTTCCTCTTCATGAGTATGGCATGCTCCCTCCGCCGACTTGTCTGGGCTACCCCATCTGGAGAGAAAATCAGCTACAAAATTATCTTTGCTGGGGTGGTGCACAATCGTAAACTTAAAGGGCTGAAACACCAAGGCCCAGCAAGTAATCCAGGCATTTACGCTTTGTTTCTGGGTTAGCCATTGCAGTGGGGTGTGATCTGTCACCACCATGAATTCTCGTCCCATCAGGTAATACTTAAAATACTATATTGCCCAGCATATTGCCAGGCACTCCCTCTTGACCGTGGCATACCTGATCTCGGTGCGGCTGAGCTTATGACTGGGGAAGGCAATCGGGCGCTCCTTTCCCCCACATCTTTGAAGTAATACCACCCCTAGAGTGCTGCCTGATGCACCCATCTGCAATATAAAAGTGGCATCAAAATCAGTGGTGTGCACTATGACATCGCGATGTATCACCTCCTTTAGTTCCTTGAAGCTCTTTCTCATTTCTAGCGTTCATCCATGAAGGGTGCAGAGAGGCTTGCAAAATGTGGTGTGAACCATCAGTAATAATTAATGAGTCCCAAGAAGGAGTGTAGCTGTTTACGGGTACATGGTTCCTGGAATCATTGTATGGCCTTGATCTTGTCTGTCAGGGGGCGTATTGTTTCCTTGCCTACTCGAAACCCTAGGTATGCCATTTCTCATCCTGCTAACTTGTTTTTCTTGGGATTGGCGGTCAAACCCACTACTTGGAGTTCTCTCAGGACTGCCATCAGAGCTTTAAGGTGCTGGTGCCAACTGAGAGTGAAGATAATGATGTCATCTATATATGCTGCAGTATACAACACGTGCAGCGCAAGCAGGGTGTTCATCAGCCTCTGGAAGGTGGCCGCCGCGCTGTTCAGTCCAAAGCACTTCCATATTAACTTGAATAAACTCCAAGGGGTCCCAAAAGCAGTCTTGGCGCTATCCACAGGGTGCATCAGGATTTGCCAATACCCTTTGGCAAGGTCGAGGGTAGACATGTACCTGGCTTCACCAATCCTCTCAATGAGGTGGGTAATGTGCGGCATGGGGAAGGCGTCAAAGGTCGTCAAAGCATTTAGCTTAATGAAGTCTATACACAGGTGTAGTGACCCATCGGGTTTGGCCACCGGCACAATGAGGCTACACCAAGGGCTCCGGGATGGTCGCATAATTCCC